AGCAGACGCTTTTATCCAAAGCGACTTACAAATGAGGACAATAAAAGCAGTCAAAACTAACAAAAGAGCAAGAATATATAAGTGCAAATGACAAGTCTCTGTTAGCCTAACGCAGTACACGTAGCAAGGTATAATGGTAAATGACTTTTAGTAATTTAGCAGACGCTTTTATCCAAAGCAACTTAGAAATAAGAAAAAGTAATTAAAACTAAAAGCTAAAACTTTATAAATACTATATATATACACACATTTAAGAATATAAAATAAATTAAATAAAAATGACAAATGCATACAACAACATTTCAAAACTAAACATTTAAATGAAAACAAAAAAATAATGCTAAAAACAATTCAAAATGTTAAAAGAACAAAAGGTATGAGTATAATAATGATTCTAACATCATATGTGTATGTACAGCCACACACATATACATATACATGTACATATATATAAATACATTCAATATATATATATATATATAAATAAACTTGCCTTGCCTTGCCTTGCCTAACAATTACAATAGGGTTTCAGCGCTACGCGCTTGAACATTACTGGAGATCCAAAATGATTTGAGATAAGATCTTTATCAAAATTAAATGGATTTCTGCTTAAAATAAGAGAAATAGAGACTTATCTTAAATCGTAAGATATCTTAAGTTATTTTGCTTCTCAAGTAATTTAAAAAAAAACTCAAATCAAAGAGATCTATGAGTACTGTATATTTCTTACCAGTTTGGCAAAAGAAGTTGTGATGGTCAGTACAGTATCTGTCACCCCATCGTCCGTTGTTATGTATAGACGCACAGGCCAAGGCCATTTGGGACAAGTCCAGCTGAGAGGAATCCCACATTGAATAGCTGATCGGCGTGAGTTGATACGACCAACGCCAAATGACTCTGTAGAAGCCGATCCAGGCGACAGATTGAAAGTTCACAGCGTTTGCGGCCACCTTTAGTTTGGCTCTGTCTTCAGCGCTCTGAACCGTCGCCAGATCCACGTGTTTCTCTCTGCAGTACGACTGAGCTTCTGGCCAGGTCTTTGGCTCTTCGATCAGGAAAATTCGATACAGGTCACATGAAGCCTTTGACAGGATTCCTGCTGCAGGAAAATCAATAGTGTTAAGTTGATCTAAACCTGTGATCTGACCAAGGTTGGGAGGGTTACTTTTAAAATGTATTCCGTTACAGTTACAAATTACTTCATTAAAAAAGTATTCAGTAACGTAATCCAAGTACCACAATATAAAAGTAATGTAATCTCATTACTTTTGGATTACTTCAAGTTACATATGTAAATAAGTCAAAAAATCAATATCAAAGTACTTTTATTTAACTATGACTTTAAAATTAAAACTAGTAAAAACTATTTGAAATTATTAAAAATCATGTCTTGTTTCACCATCTAGATATTGCAGCCTGTATATATATATATAT